TTTTTCTTTTTCTTTTTCTTTTTCTTTCTTTCTTTTTCTTTCTTTCTTTTTCTTTTTCTTTCTTTCTTTCTTTCTTTCTTTCTCTCTCTCTCTCTCTCTCTTGCATTTGAATAATAGCATCTCTGGAAGATGATACAGCAGCTAAACACCTGGGGCGAGGGGAAAGTAACTGAATGGATTCCAGGAGCTTGGAGCAAAATGATGTGAGAGTTTCTGCCAATGGGAAATCACCACCACCATAAGCTTTCCGCAGCTTTAGGGTCTCAATTTGAAGATTTGCATTCATGCTGCTAGGAGCAGTAAATCAGTTCAGTTGTCCAATGAGAGCATGAGAACCCAAAGGTGCAGTGTGCATTTTGAAGAAGCGCAACAATCCTGTGTGGAAACACCCTAAAACATACCACTGTCTCAAACAGGATTAGGATACATGAGGATCATGGGCGTTTTTATACATATTATAAATGGCCCCAAAGAAGCAGAATTCTTCCACTCTCCCCCCAGAAAAATAGTTTAATCCAGTTCACATCCAGATCTGTGCTATCTCCAATTCTAACTAGTATATGAACACATTAAGCAAACTGTTGTGTTAACTATTCCTTCTTGCATTAGTAGGACTTATATCTCAGTTTAATGGTACCTTCTGTCATAAGGATTCTGAGACAATCCAAACACCTGAAGCTACAAGTGTATGACTGACAACACCAGAAACTAAGACAAGGAAAAGTCAAGCATGATTGATTGCAGGTATTAATGCAAGTCCTGAAGAATCATCATCTCAGATCTTGATTGCATACTTAACTTGTATAATAATGTTAAATTGTTCCTGATAATGAGGACAAAAGAGGAAGCAGTGTCAAGCTTTTATTAGGAACTTTCATTTACATGTCATGATAAGCCATAATATCAACTAGAAGTTGTTTGTTTTGGTTTAATGTTGTGTGCAGTGTTATTTATTAGGGTTAGGTATGAGAATCAGGTCACTTTGGCTTGTTCAAGAAATAGAGATTTAAATATCCTGGGATAGTATTGAAAGCAGCTAGGAATCTTTCATCTCTGCTCCTCCCTAGCCTTGTACAACCTTCATCCTACCCATATGAGATTAAAAATGAAATAGGCATTATGGCTGTGTAATCTTAGGACACAAGTTGAGGTTCCTCACCATTGATAGACAGTATACATTTACAGATCCTCCCATAAATAGAAGGTCAGATCTCCCACATTTACATCCTTTTGTCTTCTAAGATAGGATACAGTACTGGCTGCCTCTTGAATAACAATGCCAGTAGCTTTGTAGTTGGACAGAGAGGTAGAGATTATCTTGTTTGCAATGGGACTATTCTGGATCTTCTTCTACCACGCCGTACTGCTCTTTTTCCCCGTCTCAAGAGGGGCTGGGCTGGATCTGCCTCCTCGCTGCTACTTTCTTCTTCACTAGAAGTCCTGGCACCTATTGGAGGGCTACTTGGAGGCCTCTCACGCCCTGCCCAGCGGCAAGCCAGGTTGTCCTCTCGGCACGCCTGCCTGCTGGGCAACCTCCAGCTGTCATTGAAAGGGGCTGCAGCCATGCATTCAGCTGCAGCCTTATCACAGGAACACAGGAGCTTTTCACACATGGTCCATCCAACACCTAAGAGAAAAGAAGATGGTTGAGAGAAGCTTCTGTACCAAAATTCACAGTGCCAATAATAAGACCATGATTGCAGGAAGTATTTGCCGTCATAGCAGCGTTGTCCATGGGGTGGAGAGACAATGATGACAAAAGGGCAGGTGCAACCAGACAATCATAGCCCCACCCCTTTTTAAGAGTATGCAGTGCAGCAATGCATGTTGTAAAGAGGCAGGACTTGATTATTTGGTCGTGTCCACCATTTTGACATTTCATTGTTTGAAGATACCCCTTCAGCAATGGAGCAGGGGAGATGAATTTCCAGCCACCTGAGGAAACTCTGCTCTGTTGTTGAAATTCCTTCTTTGAAGACTTTCCTGTATTTACTGGAGATAAATGATTTTTTTTTCTTTTAAAAATGTTTCAATTAAGAGGGATGTGATTTTTGAACACTGCTATCTCAAACTTACATGTTGGTGTGTGATCAAAGCATACAACTTCAGATCTTGATTTTTTTTCTGGCTGGCATCCCAGTCTTTTAACTTGTTCCAGGCAGCAATGATGGGAGAAACAGCATCTGTTAGACAGAGAAGATAACAGAATTAACATTTCAGAACCATTTTGCACCTCCATACAGCGCAGCCTTCCATACGTTGGTATGAACCTAGCTTCCATTGTATTTTTAAAAAATATTTTCTCTCGCTTTTGTCACATCATCTAGTTCAGGTGGAAGATGGGACATGGGCATGAAGCAGAGCCATCCACGAGTGGGGGTGGGGGGCAAGAGGCCACAATGGTGGGCACAGTCACAGACTGAAGCTCTGCCCCTTCGTATGTGCATACATTGTCAACACATATACAACGAGGGGGACCTTCAATCCACAATTGTGCCTGCTATTTCAGCCCTCCGGTTGCAGATGGGGTGAAGGTGGAAAACCAAGAGATAGTTGGCTTCTGTCTGCAGCAAAGATGAAACCTCTTTGAGATTTCTTTTAATGGGAAGTGATGGGCACGGCATGCCATGGCCATGTAACAAACATGTTTCATGAGCACCACTGGTTACCGGTTGGCTTCTGGGCACAATTTGTGCTGATTGTCATTTTTAAAACCCTACATGGCCCAGTAATTTGGGGACCCTCTCTTTCTGCCCATCTTGTAAGATCTGACAGAGTTGCTTCTATCTGGATCCTGTCAGTTGAGTAATGCGACTAGTAGAACCCAGGAAACAGGCTTTCTCTGGAGCAGTACTTGCCCTCTGGAGCAACATTCGCACGACTCCCACCTTACTGGTGTTTAAAAGAGCACTAAAGACATGACTCTTCCCCCAGCCCTTGGGTTATATGGTTGGGGGCCCTTTATGTCTGGTTTTATCTCTGCTGGTGTGGGAGAGAGAGTTTGGTTTCTGGTCCCTTCAGATGATATTATCTATTGGGTTTCGTTGTTGATTATATAGTTTTGTATATGTTAAACTGCCCAAAGTCGTTGGGTGGGGAAGGAAGGAAGGAAGGAAGGAAGGAAGGAAGGAAGGAAGGAAGGAAGGGAGGGAGGAA